TGAAATTGCAGTATTTAATAGAAATTCAGATTACTATTTAAAATAGCAAATTTGGTAGGTATTTGAGTAACAGCTGTGGTGTGCTTCTCACGGTGATAAATATGCCAAGTATATCAGCAAGAAGAGTGAAAACAAGTTTTAAAATTTCTACAATGGAAACACTTAATAATGGTGTGCAATTTAAAGGGAAGAAGATTGTGATGACATGAGGTATCTGTTTCTAATAACTTGGATTCAACTTGCTTGGACTGCTGATGTCAGGTGAAGATTGTATCCGATAGGAATTTTCAAATTCAATTGCTTTCATTTTTGCGTATTCCTTTTTGACTTATTTTAGTTAACTTAGCTGACATCTTGACTGCTGCATTTGGAAATCAAAACCATTCCTGTTACGATTAGTAACAGCTAAAGTGTAGTTGATTTCCGCTTAAAATAGAAATAGGTGGTTCTAATAAAGCTTTGGGATTATAGGTAAGGATGAAAGAAAAAAGTTGTTTATCCACATGTGGAAGAAGGTATGTGGGGACCTATTTAAAAAAAAAATCTAAATATCAGAGAGAAGGAAAAAGTATGTTCCTAATTTGGTTTTATAGTATATGAATGTTGATGGCCCATTTTGTCTTTCATCTTCATTTATTGTATTTCTCATTTTCTTAGCATTTTCTCCTTTACTTGTGCTCCATTTTTCTTTTTTACTGGTCCCTCTCAGATTTATAGGTTGCTGTCCAGTTGAATCTCATTTCTGAATTCACCAGACTTTTTTTGTACTGACTGGACCATTTCAGAGGCTGGAATGTCAGCTTATTTCACTTAAAGATACTACACTGCCAAGCAGAATGATGTGAGAGGAGAAGAAAATGGTAGAAACAGCATATTTACAAGCTCAGTGGTGTAACTGGGAAAATGTACTGAGGCACATTGCATTTTCAAGGCAAATACTAACATATACAGAAATCTATATGCATCGTGCATAGAAAGAGAAGTAAGAAAGTGAAGCAAGTAAAGGGTGCCATTCTGACAAGGCATTAACACTTCTTGCGTTACAGATGAAAGGAAACATGGTCAAAGCTTTTTGGAAAGTATTGTAAAGGAAACATAGTCTGGAAAAACACCTTGGAAAGCCACTGTCGTAATAGGGTTGTGATTAATTTTTCTTTTAGTTTCTGTCTTGCAGCTAATCAGGTTTCAAAGTGTCAAGTAAATTTAATTAAAAGGTATTTCTATCATCTTGGCCTGTACTTTCATATGTGCTTCTATAGCATTCAAGGCTACATTAAGATTAAATATAAGCTCATATGTTTATATATATGTATGAAAATCTGCATTGTATATTGCTTCTGATGAAAACCACATTTCTAAATGTAAGGCGATGTTATTAGAGCTGTTCTTTGGGCCTTTTTTTTTTTTTTTAAAGAATCATCTGGTAACTTGGAAAAGGCACTATTCATGGGTTGGCAGCAGCTTCAATAGCTGCATTAGAGGTTGGCGTGCACTGATACTGTAAATGTATTTAAAGTAAATGGGTGATGTGAAATGCTTTTTTGATATCTAGGAAAGGATCATATACTTGTGGTACAAGTACGGGTGTGAAATGACTTCTGTAAACAGTCGAGACAATTGTATAATATTACAAACCTTCTGGTTTATTAGCAGAAGTTCTTATTAAGGAGAGGTCTTCTCTGCAAAGATGTGTAGGCATAATCATCTGGCATAAGAAGGGAAATCACAGCTCTATATACAGTGTAAGAATCACCTAAGAAAAAAGAAAAATTCTGTGCAGATGCAATTCCCTCTGGATGAAGTCTTTTGTCAGTATTATTGACATTCAGGAAGGTGATTAAACTACACAAATTAAATGATTATTTTTGGTGGTATAAACTTATTTCCAGTACAGGACAGCTATCATAGTAGCTATGACAGTAAAGCCTAACCAAAAAGATTGCTGCAAGTGCTTCTTATTTCTGGGAAAATGGAAGTTTGTGAAACTTGCAGTAATCTGATTTTTATTCTATGAAGTTCGTTTACACAAATGTTCTGATTGTGTTGGTAAAGAGTGTCTCTTTCAAACACATGTCCATCAACTTAGAGATGCTGTTTAGTTGATCTCATTTACACTGCCAAGACTGCTGCTGAAACAAAATTCCAGGAATTGTGATTTTAAGCCTAGTGATTTATAAGGAGGGATGTGTCCAGATAAGATTGTAGGGACTTTTAGTTTAAAGAAGAGAAGCAGAGAATTTTCTTCCTCATTTACAACAGATGGTCATTCTTTTGTTTAGTTCTTGGTGATATTAAGGCTTGATCAGCAGAGTGCCTTGAAATATATGGGGGCACTACTGGGAATCTCTTTATAATACCTTGCCTCCTTTCAGTAGTTGCTGAAATTTCCTTTTCTGTAGTAACATAGAAGATGGCTGCCACTCTTCACTGTCCTTCACATTGTTTTTAGGGCTTTACTATGTGATAGTTCTCAAGACAATTAGGACAGATTAATTAAAACTGGTGTCTGTATCTTCAAGTATGTGAAACTTCCATGAAGGTCTTCTGCCTCAAAAGTAAAATAGTTTTAATTTGCTATACCTTAATCTACCTCCAAGGTTTTGCTACTCCTGAATTTGAACATCCATGTGGAGGTATGATGCACTTCAGTTTAGTAGCCCTGACTGCATAATACCTAGAAGTTAATTTAGATTTAAATATCTTACACTATGTATTAAAACATATACTGCCTATTTCTGTTTTAACACCAGGTGTAGTGATTCTTATTCTTGAATAAAATTGTCTTTCTCAGTTACCTTAATCATATTTAGAAATATGTTAAGCTAATTTGTATTGAGATTCTGTTTTGCCATAGTCACAGCATATTCAGAAATAGTTAATCAGTAAAAAGTGTTTTGAATTGACCCATGTTCTTTGTTAACTTTCTTGCTGTCCCTATATAGAGAAACCCTTAAGTTGATTATTCTGATTTGATATATGCAGTCTGGGTTGAGTAGCTTGCAGTGACATTTCCTTAAATTTTGAGATGTCTTTAGAACCATGCCAGTTGGTAGACTGTCTAGTGAAGGAGACACTGATTTGGTGTGTATGTAAGTATATTTATTTTTTAAAAACTGACCTCCTTACTTCAAGAAATGGCTACGTTATTGTTCCAATGCTATGAGAAAGTAGTTTGGGAGAGAGGTGTGTTGCTTGCAGCAACCAAAACTTTCTATTTATAACATCTCTATCCATTTGACCAAAGTCATAAGCAAAATCCTTGAAGAATAACTCAAGAAAATTTCTTAGAAATGCTTTCTAGACTTTCAGCCTTCTGTATTGCAGGAAACAGCAATCAGCAAACAGTTGAATCTTCCGTGTGCGAATGCTTCTGTTAGCTTCTGGACCCAAATTTATTGCTGGAGGTTTAGAAACTTGATGGTTTAATCTACAGAAATTCAGGTACTTGCAGAAGTTGATGGACTGACTTCTTCAATCTGGAAGAAATATTCCATACCGGGTTTATCATCCAGTGTGGGAAATGTTAAACCACTGGATTTTTAATACTGAATAAATTCCAACAACAACTTCAGTTAATACCTGCCTTGCCATTATCTGGCAGGAATTTGTAAAGATCTGGACCTCTCCACTTATGTTACAGGTGGCAGCCTCGGGAGCTCTGATTTTCCAGGGCATGAGAGAGCTTGGCACTACTGCTGGTTCCATATTTGAATGGATTCCTATGGACCGTTAGACTCAAATTCACCAGGTGCTCACCAAACCTCCCTTCGAACCTGTCATGAAGAGTTAAGTGTTCTCTAGTACCATCAAAGTCATCTTCTTTGGTATGGGAGGTAAAGTGAGATAAATGCACTGTCCATCAAAGAACTGTTCCTACATTTCTTGGATAAAATCATCTTGTGAACAAACTCCAGCTACATAAAGATCAAATAAACTTTACATTGAATCTGGGTTATCTATTTTCATGTCTGGGACGTCAGAGATTGATTGATGCTTACTTACTTAAGCAGGGTATTTTCCTTTTACGTTAACAAATGTGCTCTCCTCCTTACCTCTGCCCCTTTTCACTGTGGTTACTAGGAAAGTTGCAGGCTGCTAAACTAAAGCAGGTGTTTCCAAGTGCAAATCTGTAAAGAAGCAGAGAGAGAAAAGAAAAAAAACAAAGACATCTTCCATAATGCTTATGGCCCATTACACTGGGGCTATAGCTGAGAAGTAAAGCCTGTGTGAAAGAAGTCTAAGATGGCTAACCTAGTCACCTCTTCATTACATTGTTAAATGATCCATTATGAAGATGGGTGTTTCAGGGTTTTTTTTTTGGTTGGGTTTTTTTTAATTTATTATATATTTAGTCTCTTCTAGTCAGTGCTAATTATTCATGCTTTTCTTTTATTTACTGTTTCTGTTTTCTGTACTGTTTCTCTTTGCTAATTCCTGATAGTGTCTCCAGATTGGTAGATACAGCATGTGCATGAAAAAGGACCATTTTGTTCCTTGTCTGTGACTTGACCTTGTATTACACATATCCATCAGTCTGGAATTTATCTCCCTTCTTTTTACAACTAATAAATCTTATTGCTCTTAACAGGTTTGATTCTTTTGGCATGCCTCTACCTTATTTCATGAGGAGGAGAGGAAAAAATATACAGAAACTACTTCTCTTTGATATGGTTGGGATTTATTCTAAAAACACTTCGTATTGATGGATATGTAGTTTAACAAATGTGTAAAACTTACTGATTTAATATTCAAAGAGTCTTTGTGCTGTTGCCTTTTCTCAAACAGTTAGATAGATTCAAAGAGCCTCCAGCATTTGGACCAATGTGTGACTTATTGTGGTCAGATCCTTCAGAAGATTTTGGAAATGAAAATTCACAAGAGCATTTCAGTCACAATACAGTTAGAGGATGCTCGTACTTTTATAGGTGAGAGTATGCCGTGGTCTGTTTGATGTTCTAATGCTGACTCTTGCTGCATATTTTAAGAGGATTTATTTTACTCATAGTTGTTTTCATTTCACAGCTATCCAGCAGTTTGTGAATTTTTGCAAAATAATAATTTGTTGTCAATCATTAGAGCACATGAAGCACAAGATGCAGGGTAAGTATGTTGTGTCTTTCAAGAGATTATTCACAGTGTAAGATAAAAATTAATTGCTTATTGCTATACGATGTAAAATAATCTGTTTGGTTTTGCAGTTATAGAATGTACAGGAAAAGTCAAACTACAGGGTTCCCATCATTAATAACAATTTTTTCAGCACCTAATTACCTGGATGTCTACAATAATAAAGGTAAGAATTTGCTATTAATAACTGTATGTAATAATAAAATAAAAATGTCTTACTAGATGAGTCATCTAATATCAACAATGTTTTGCCAGGTAAGAAATTAAAGGACAAAAAAAAAATTTCCATTAATACAAGTTGTATTATAAAGAAGAGCATGTGACGTAAATGACGATCTCCTATTAGAGTACTTTGAAGCACAAGTGTGGACAAACATTTCCTTTGTAAAAGTTGTTGCTGTTCAGTACTTATGAATGTATTACCTGGGGCTTTCCAGTCAGGCAAGGCTTTTCTGTGCTGTGAGTTTCCACTCCTCTGGTTGTCTTCAGTTTGTGAACTAAGTCAGGAAGGGAGGAAGCATTGATCAGAAGCCTGTGCATTAGGTAGTTTGTGTTGTGTATCACTGCATCTGAGAATCTAATTGTGATGGTACAGGGCCATAATGGCTGTATATGGGAAATGAAGAAAGAGCAAGTGCTGATCTAAATACTGATCACCATTGGAAATGTTATTAGGGAGATGTAAGGTAAAGATAAAGTTGCACAGGAGAAGCATGCTTGATAGTGTGGAGAAAGATTCACAAGTCAGAATTACAGGGAAGAGCTTAGCTGTGAATTAATATTCATAGATGAGAACAAAGTTCAACAACAGAAATAATTAAAAATAAAGCCTGCTGAAATTCAGGTATGACATTGAAGTATGGCATTTCGGGTATGTGATGAATGAATGATCTCCAAATGTTCAAATAGTGTTCCTTTGAAACCGAGACCTCTTTTCTACGAAATACGTTACATGTTCTCCCACCCACCTCCAAAGAACCACCCCCCACCACCCATACCACTTATGTAGGGTGATTAACTGTATAGAAGAAAAGATGAGCTGTTGTTACTTGCACTGATTGTAAAGTAAAGGAGAAATAAAAGTAGCTTCAACTGGCTTTTTACATTTTTTTGCCATCTCTGTGGATATTGCGTTTTAAGAATCCTTTTTCACATCAGCTATTCCCAGTGTAATGCAGGTTTAAGTATGGAAAATGCAATCAATGCTTATTTAGTTTTAGAATGTGTCTGTTTTTCTGTTTCTCTATGCTTCCCCTTCTCCCTGATCTTCTAGATTTCTATGGTTTTATTCCAGGCTCACAATGTGGGAAGACACATATGAAGAATAAAACCCAAATCTGGATATATTGCTGTTCTGAGTTAGGATTTTGTTGAAGTTGCTGAAATTATACCTTTTCAGGACCTTTGAAATCTTTGTTCATTATAGACCTATAATAGGATAGTACAGAACTATATTGACAAGTAACAGTACCTTAAACTGCAACATGTGCAATAAAAATCCAAAGTTCTCCATTAGAAATCTGTCCTGTAAATACTGTGAAAGAAAGAGAATGGGAGTATCTCTGGGATTATTTTGTCTATAGTATAAAACACAGCAAAAACTAACCTGTGACTTTTAATTTGTGGTACTTGTAAGTTTTAAACATTCTTTTCAAAATGTCTGATTTTTATTTTAGCTGCTGTATTAAAATATGAAAACAATGTGATGAATATTCGTCAGTTCAATTGTTCTCCTCATCCTTACTGGTTACCAAATTTTATGGATGTTTTCACATGGTCTTTGCCATTTGTTGGAGAAAAAGGTAGGCAAAAGTTGCACATCAATTAATATCTTTCCTATTTCTTTTCTTTCTTTTTAAAAAATATATTTTATATAATT